AAGGTCGGGTGATGTAACCGGGTAAGCAGCGCTTCACTGATTGCCAAAAGTTAAGCTCTGTGATTAGGTAAAAGTGGTTTTAAAGATGAATCGGGGTCATTTGTGTGTCTTGTTGTTATGATACGTTTTGCAACAGATGACCTTAGATTTATTGTAATCACTTGACCACGAATTGTCGGTTACGTCATCGATTTCACCAACCCCTTTGGAATATGTTCGGCCATCCGTTGTGACCACTGATGGTTTGTTCTGCCTATGTATGCGTCAATGCAACTGCAGGTGAACTGGCATACAGAGTGTGAGGCGGAACCGGTTTGCCAGCCGTGTTTACGTTTGTCCAAGTCAATTCCACGAGTAGAAGCAATGAGTCTGAGTTGAGCAGCTGGGAATGTACGGTCTAGAGCTGACTTCCGCTTATGGCGCATGTCTTTGTAAATGTAAATCTTTGAACACGAGCCTTAAGTAGATCGCCTTTTGGGTTGAATTACCTTGAGGGATTGGTCTACTATGAATATCTATATATCTAATATTGAAAAATCTGCATACTTTTATGCACAGACAAATAATGACAATATATATGATACCAAAAAATGTGCTGCTATGTTTCACTGAATAAAAAACATCCCCTGTGAACCATACTCACAGTGATTCATCAAATTACGTTATTCTCCCAGATGTTCGGTGTCTAAACGCCAGCAGTCCCAGGAATAGGGATATTGCCCTCGAGATCTGATGAATTCAGTGGCTTCTCAAAGGGGGGTTAAAAAGTTTGTTTGTAACCTGTCTTTCATCACCGTCTCAACGCATCAATTCGGAGCAATATATCCGGGTGTCAGATTCAAGTGTTGACCTAAAAATATTCTCAACACTCATATTCAAGCTAAATTCGAGGAAAATTATGGATAAGCAGATGAACCGAATCCAACAAGTGAGGACAAACGAAGCTCGTTTCAAGCAAAGCTCACAGATGTGGTAAATGTTTTTTTCTGAACACATCCTCAATCAACAAAGCTTCATCAATCAAAGAAAGTGCGAAGAAGAACTGGAGACAGACATGACAGACTACTGATATCTGCCAGTTTCCATACCATCCGGATGTACGAGAGAGCGAAATATATCGACAAAACAGTCCTTATCCTGAACGATCAATCCTGTCCTCAGAAATTTCTCTTTGGTTGAGAATCGGATGGCGCGTGACTTCCCGATTCTTCCTCCTTTCCATCGTTTTACCAATGAGCAAAAACACTCGCGAAAGTTACAACCGATTAGGTGTAGAAAACGGTTCCAGTGCTCTCCATATACGATGCTGATTGCTCGGGACATGTGTTTGAAACAATCCTCGCGTATTTTAACATTTTTCAGATGTGTGATTTCGCCTTTTCTGAACTCCCAGCTGGTTTAGATTTGTTTGCGAAAACCATGATCTCCTTTATGGGTGAATTTATTATTCATCCGTATCAATTTACAAAAACCTGTGGACGCTGTTATTTCGCAGAATGATGTTCAAATCTTATTATCACCCTTGATTTCGAAGAAACTTGTTTGATTTTGAACAGAGAACGTTTGCTTTAACTTCTAAAGAGAAGCATTCCGACAGGTTGGTAAAGTGGTAATGAGTAGCCTCTTAAGTCGCATTCTATTTGAAATCGCCTTGACTACAATGGGGCCCGACTATATTTTGCGATTAAATAAGTTCTTTCATACAAAAGATATATTCCGAAATAATCCCATTGTAACATCAGAAAACAAGTCCGAAGGCGAACATTTGTTATCGAATGATTCATAATCGTGCCTGTACT